TCATAAATTGGTCGATTTCTCAAAGTATAATGTTCTAATAAAACAAAAAATTAGAAGTAGAGTAAATTACATGAATGGTCCCTATGATTTGGGGTAATTAGTGCGCTTGGTCCCTAACTTGTTTTTTTAACTCGGAAGATCACTGCTGTTTGTTTTTGTTACGCAGTTGGTCCTTACTGTTTGTTTTTATTACGTGCTTGGTCCCTTTCTTACCTAAAAAGACTATTATTTAAATAGGGAAAAATGGTGGGTTAGGTAAGGAAGCATGAGGGAGGTGGGATCGGAGGTGTGTTTATTTAAATAGATTAAAAACTTAAGGGCAAAATAGTCTTTTTAGGTAAGACAGAGACCAAACGCGTAACAAAAACAAACAATAGGGACCTTCCGAGTTAAAAAAACAAGTTAGGGACCAAACGTGCAAATTACCCTAAACCATAGGGACCATTCGTGTAATTTACTCTTAGAAGTATAATTTTAAAAGCTTTGGGTTCTTACTTGTTCCATTTTGAATTTGTAGGTTGCTCTTGATCTTCACTTGGATGGTTTGGTATGTTTCTCTATACAATATACTAATTTTGACTAATTTAATTGACTCTTTGACTATGACCTAATATTTAAGTTATTTGTCAAACGTATTTTCTAGGATTTAGATGATCTATGATTTAGACTTGTGTGGACTGAAGTGCCTTCAACTGCATTGACTAGTTGACTCCTAACTCCTATTTATACTCATTTAAAGTTTAAACCAACCTAAGTAGGAGAATGACCAAATTGCCCCTCTTTTAAGAATTGTAAAAGTTATCTTGTTGATTTTAGATTATATCAAATACAACCATTTCAAGGCCAGAAGCTGTTGAGAGCAATCCGGTGTCAGAGGAAGGTGGTGGACTGAGTGGGAAGCCTCTTTTTAATTTATCAAATGATATCTTAAAGGATATGTATGTTTTAACAAAGGTACACTTTTCTTGCTATAAATATTGTCAATTCCTTTTTTTTTTTTTAGTGATTATTGTCTCTTAATGTGAATTTGAATTGATTATAGTTATTTTATGAATTGTTGGCTAAATCAATAGATTTAGCCACTAAACTATTGTGTTTTTTATTAATGGATTTAGCCTCTGAACTATTATTATAACAATTATAAAAAAAAATTGAGCGACTAAATCGTTAAAATGGTGAAATGCATTGTGGTTTTAAACTTTTAATAGAAGTTAGCGAGAATCAAAAAAGTTTTAGCTTATTTTATAGCTATTAAACTTTATAAAGTGAAAGAATCATATGCTTTTAGTTTTTCCCATTTTAGTTACAAACTTTATAATTCTTTGAAGAATATTTAATCCTTGATTTTTATTAAAAACTTATTTGAGAATATCTTTAACCTCTTTTTAGGGAAAGATTCCTTTGGTTGGCTGTGGAGGTGTAAGCAGGTTTGTTTTTTGTGGTTTTTTTTTTTTTTTTTGTTGATGTGGACATATGACGTGGCAGGTTTATTGAAAACAGTTTCATTAAATAGTAACCAAGTTTCAGTTTTGTTTCATATACTTTTTTTAATGTTTCAACATTTGATGATATTGTTTCGATAACAAAAAATACAAAAATTCAAGAGTAAATGTCGAAACATTAAAAGCAAAATACAAATGTTTACACCAATGGAACAAAATTAAAAGTGGATTGGTTAAACACTTAAACTTAAACCTCTTGAAAAGAAACTTGTTTATATTATTTAGTGACATTTTCCATAGTTTTAATATATAAATTTTATTAAATAAATCATATTTTACCAAATGCTTTTATTAATTTAGTGGAGAGGATGCTTACAAGAAAATAAGAGCAGGAGCTACTCTTGTTCAGCTTTATACAGCTTTTGCTTATGGTGGGCCCGCCCTTATACCCCAGATAAAGGTATATAGATTTTGCACTAAAGGGTAAAATGGTCATTTAACCTTTGTCATAATTTAGGACTTATAACAGGGAAGAGGTTGTTTCTTTTTCACTTAATTGGCTTAATGTATTAACATACTAACACTTTACCTATTTAATATTTGGGAAATTTGTTTTTTGGAATGCAAGGGTAAAATGGTCTTTATTTTTTTTGTGGGGTTTGCAGGCTGAACTTGCAGGTTGCTTAGAAAGGGATGGCTTTAAGTCAATTTATGATGCAGTTGGTGCAGACTGCAGATAATCATGATGCCAAATTATCATGTAATCTTTTTTTTTTTTTCATTGTTTTGTAAAATACAAGCTACTAAAGAGAATTCATATTTATAATATTCTGAAGCTAAAATTTTCAAGGCTTTAAATACTTTTGTTCTTATTTATTAATTTTGTTTTTACAAACAATTGTAGTAGTGTATGCTAATAACATTGTAATGTTGTACCTAATGAACGGGAGGGAAGAATGATATGATGTATTTCAAGCATTTTTACATTAGGATATTAGTTTTGAGTAATGATTGTATTTAGTGCAAATTGGAAGAAATAGCAATCTACTTCATAAATTTTTTTTTCTAAAATTATAGGTTATGTACTTTATATGTAAACCTTGTAATGGCAATTTACTTACATTTCCTCATACAATAACGTTTATATATTTTGTTAACAACAATAATGGCATATTTACATTCTTTTTATTGATAATAGCAGTATATAACATATAAATTACATCTTGCATCAATGTGTTGTATCAAAACTTATGGATTTAGCCCATGTCCTTGAGGGTTTGAAGCTTGAGATGAAATCTAAGGTTTCAAGGTATAATTTCTCCTTTGTTAACCTTGAATTCAATTTTGAAGCTTGGGATGAAAGCCAATGTCAATTTTATGTTGAACTGATGACTTGGGTTTTGTTTTCTAACTCTTCTAGGATGGTTGATGTTTTTCATAGTTAGGATTCAAGCTTTCAAACATTTAGGTGGAATTAACAAAAGTTGAAATGCATCTATTATCACCCCAATATGGTCTAAAAGGTTTTGGGAAGGTTACATAGTTCATTAGTAAGCCCATGAACATTTTGAGCTCTTAACTCCATAAGTAGAACCTTGATGAGCAATAAAACTATGGAATTATTGTGATAACTTTAATGGATTAAATGATGGGTTTTTGTATGTTATAATTTCATCTAAAACATGTTTGAGATTCCATAGAAATGGTACAAGATACTACTTAAGAAATTGAATATAGTATGCAAAGTAGAATGGTTAAATGAGAAGAAAACTGGAAATGACAAATCACTATGCAGAACACGACATGTAATGTCCCCTTCGCAGTTTAACTTATCTATTTGGTATGATACTCCAATTTCACCTCTATAAGTTATAATTGGAGTAAAATAAACATTTTGATATTAAGAGAGTTTGGTGACCTCTAGAGGTATTTTAGTCATTTTAGTAACCTATATTTATATCTTATATGCGGGGATTAAAGAAGGGTTTCACTACGGAAATGACTTACTTCTTAAGCTAAGGATTGATGTGAGTTTACCGGGAGTACACACCCATACACCTCACTTCATGTGTTTTGATTGGTTTACATTACATGATATTTATATGTAAACCTTGATTGTGATATGGGTTATATGTATATTTATGAAATCTAATTTTTGAAATTCTTTTGGTTGATATAAAGCTAAAATGCTTATTTTTATAAGAGTTTTTAGCATCCTACTTGTTGCATTCATGCTGGGATGGGTGACTTGAGTGGCCACAAGACTTTGGGACCCCACAAACGAGAAATGAATACCTAACTTGAGGGTTGTGAGTAAATTTCTAGAAATATAGGTTATGTACTTTATATGTAAACCCTGTAATGGCAATTTACTTGTATTTCCTCATACACAATAACGTTTATATATTTCCTTAGCAACAATAATGGCATATTTACATTTTTTTTTAATGATAATAGCAGTATATAACATATAAATTACATCTTGCATGAACGTGTTGTATCAAAACTTATGGATTTAGCCCTTGTCCCCTAGGGTCTGATGCTTCTTAGGTTTCAAGGTATAATTTCTCCTCTGTTAACCTTGAATTCGAGTTTGAAGATTGGGATGAAACCCAATGTCGATTTTATGTAGAACTGATGACTAGGGTTTTGTTTTCTAACTCTTCTAAGATGGTTGATGTGGTTCTAAACCCAATCATACCATTCATTTAATGGATTTGGTGTTTGGGTAAGAGTTTAGCCACAAACCCTAAAATCTCAATTATAATCATGAAAATTTTAAGTTGATATCTAAATGATTCTATGATCATTGATGTAGTTTTGTTGCAATAAATCCATCATGGATGCACAAACTCAAGGAACAAGAGGATCAAAGTTTGAATGATTTGAATTAGGGACTCAATAGCTAAATGAAGCTTCCATTTGGTTTTTAGTATCTACTTGTGTAAATGAAATTCTAGTTCATGAATTGATAGATTGAGAATGATTTGAATGTAAAACACGAAGGATCACTTTATCTATAAGTGGTTTGGCCATAAGGGCAAAATTGGAAACTATGGAACTGGAATAGTGATTCCATAGTTAGGATTCAAGCTTTCAAATATTTAGATGGAATTAACAAAAGTTGAAATACATCTATTATGATCCTAATATGGTCTAAAAGGTTTTGGGAAGGTTACATAGTTCATTAGTAATCCCATGAACATTTTAAGCTCTTAACTCCATAAGTAGAAGTTTGATGAGCAATAAAACTATTGAATTGTTGTGACAACCTTAATGGATTAAATGATGGGTTTTTGTATGTTATAATTTCTTCTAAACATGTTTAGGATTCATAGAAATGGTACAAGATACTACTTAAGAAACTGAATGTAATATGCAAAGTAGAATGGTTAAATGAGAAGAAAACTAGAAATGACAAATCACTATGCAGAACGCAACGTGCAATGTCCCCTGATATGTTTCATATTTTGTTGATTTTCGAAGTTTAGTTTATCCATTTGGTCTAATTTCACCTCTATAAGTTATAATTGGAGTAAAACAAACATTTTGATATTAAGAGAGTTTATGACCCTTTAGAGGTATTTTAGTCATTTTAGCAACCTATATTTATATCTTATAGGTGGGGATTGAAGAAGGGTTTCACTAAGGAAATGACTTACTTCTTTAGCTAAGAATTAATGTGAGTTTACCGGGAGTACACACCCCTATACCTCACTTCATGTGCTTTGTTTGGTTTTCATTACATGATATTTATATGTAAACCTTGATCGCAATGTGGGTTATATGTACATTTATGAAATCTAATTTTTGAAATTCTTTTGGTTGGTATAAATCTAAAATGCTTATTTTTATAAGAGTTTTTAGCATCCTACTTGTTGCATTCATGCTGGGATGGGTGACTTGAGTGGCCACAAGACTTTGGGACCCCACAAACGAGAAATGAATACCTAACTTGAGGGTTGTGAGTAAATTTCTAGATAGCTCTCATGTACACATGTGGGCTCGTTACCCCTTATGTGGCATAGGATTATGGCTCCCTAATTGCCTCGCTTATTAGCCATTCATGAGTCTCGGTTATTAGCCATTAATATTTATGAGTTGGATTTATGAGATGGACAAAGTTGGGTGTAGGTGCATGCATTGCATATCTTTTGGAAATCATTTCTTATTTTCCCTAGTTTTTTATTAGATTGTTTTCTAGCAATTGAAAGGTTTTGAACACACTAACATATAATTTATGGAAGTAGAAGCATATTAAAATTCTAGTCCTATGTTCAAACTAAAACCTACAAGGATCTTATGTTCAGAAAATTATTGCAACCACAAGAAAGATGAGAATTGCATACCTCTTTGTTAGCCAAAGATCTCCTTGCTTACGATCTTGTTCTTGCCACTTTGTTTGGATGTCAAGGATCCAATCAAGAATCCCTCTAATGGTATCACACCTAAGATCACCAATCAAGCAATAAGACAACACCTTGGATGTAACAACTAGGATTTCTAACATCTAATCTAAGAGAAATAGCAAAGTTTGTTTTTACAATTGGGGAATTCTACTGTAACATCCCTAAAATCATAGTAAAAGTTTTTCATTTTTAAAACCATTTAATAATCCATAAACCATACAAAAACATTGTTTTCAAGAACATAGTTAAAATCAGAGTATCCAAAATCATCAATCAATAAAATATCTAAGGATGATGTGCATAATCATGTCTTCGCCTTGCCTCGATCATCTAATGTACCTAAAACCATGAAATCAAACTGTAATCCAAAGCTTAGTGAGTTCTCCCAAAATACACACACAACAAAACAAATACAAACATGCATGTTGGGTCCACAGTTTCCCAACTGGATTACCTCTGGCTCATAGTCTCCCGACTGGATTGCTCCGGATTTGTTTGCCTCCAACACAAAGCAGTACCGCCTTAACCCACCCGCACTATGCCGACATATGCAATAGATAAACATATAACCAACAAATACAGGTAATCATACAGATCTACCAATCTAACATATCATTATAGCATATCATCATCCTATATACCAAAATACATAAAAACAACTTAGTGGGTCGACATTGGTGCTTTCGACCCATGAGTATAGTGAGGAAAACTCACCTCAAAGTCTAGAAGATAGCTGAACTGATCACTACTCTAAATACCGGCTCTATAGGTCACCTAAACATCAGATAGGGACCTAACCTCAATCTAATATTCAAATTATCCCAAATGACCTAAAGTCAAACTTGGTCAAAGTCAACATGTAAGGTCACACCTTATGATTTGATGAGTCAAAACACTCTATATGCTAACTACCAGCGCCAATGTCAACATCAGCATCAGTGCCAACGCCTCAAACCTTATCAACGCCAACGTGTAGTTATATAATCTAAAGTAATCTTTGTATATTAGGTAACTATATATATATATATATATATATATATATATATATATATATATATAATAGATAGCATATCCGATATCTTTGTGATGAAGATCGGTTCTTAGTATAGATTAGATACAATCCATTTAATTAAGGAACATACTTGGATAGATTAGTATATATTCAACATTACGGTGAAACCCTAATGTTAACGTCTTGGTAACCGTCTTTGTGACAACACGTTTTCTTGGTGAAAATAAACCTTTTCTTGGTGAAAGAACATTTGGTGAATCCTCTTTGTTATTTACTTTTTTTTTTGTTCTTTTTTTGCTTAGTTATTTTGTTCTTGTTTATTATACTTGAAATGTATCCGATTGATACAAACCTTCATGTAATGTCCCAAAATTTCAGACCAAAAGTTTCATTTTTATAACAGTAAAACCATCATTCAAAACGTGTTCATAAAACCA